CGGCAACATACCCGTGCTCCAGCGAGTCTAACGCAACTTCAAAAATCGACAACTGTCGATTGAAAAAAAAAATCGACTAACTGTCGGTCCCATTGAAAATGGGGACCGGCATTTGTCGGATTTCATCTTTAAAACTTAGTGGTGATAAAAATATTCGGTCATGTATTTTTCAATAAGATTTATATTGTAATGATACCTTTACTAGTCTTGTTTTTAATGAGCTTTCAAATCAGGAAGTGTCCGTCAATCACCGTGTAGAAGCGCAGACGGAAAGGTCCTTCTCACTCAGTGACGACAATAATAATTCCCCTATTAACGCAATTCCCCTATTTCAAGATCTTAACAAATGGCTTTCGAACGATTCACTAAATTTCCCACGGACAAAGCTCAATAAGATAAGGTTGTAGTTTGGTTTTGAGAGATCATAAAATCATATTTAATCAATATATAGCTATGAACAATATGGTAAAAGGAGCGAGGGAAAATTTAGAAACAGGGATTTTTTCTGGCGAAATGATGTGGGTCGAACTCGCGACCTAGGCATTGACCACAGACACTCGCATCAGGATGTTCAAGCAGACAAGCACGAGATGAGAGTCGTTACAAAGATGCATGGGTGGGGTGTGATAGAATGCTACGAAACAGCTCATTTTTCGATTTTTACTGCAAAGTGGATCGAAAAAAATGAATTACAATATGAATTATTTCTTCGTGCGAGGAAAGTGAATTTCAACTGTACTCCGTCATTGGCAAATTTAGAGGTGGCAGTTGATGTGCAGTATGGTCTCTATGGTATTTGTGGCAGGGTGGCCCAGTGGTTACAGTTTAGAGTATCAGGATTGGAGCAGAGAGGCGCGGGTTCGATCCCAGCTCTGTGCGTCAGTTTCTGGTCAGAATCAGCAAAGAGGCCGTCGGTTGCACAGCAGAATTGTAGCAGTGAGTTACGAGTTCGAGACCACATTAAGCTGTGAATATTCTGCGATGTTGAGAATCGGTGACAGGCCTATGGCCTACTAAACGCTGAAACCGCTATATTATTATATTATAATGAGAACCATAATATAGTACTCTTGCTGTCATAATGCGACGAATTCTTTTGAGTGAGCAGAGGGTTTGAATGTCTTCATTCATCTATTCTATGGTATAATTATGATGTCAATGTATTATCTGGGTTATACAATCGATGATTCGCAATCTGTATAATTTTCTCATCTTCTATTTCAGCCCTACGAGAAGAATGTAATCATCTAATGACTAATGAACAATTGTATAATGAACAATGAACACCTGGTATAATTTATTACTAACGCTTAATCTGAAGACAATGTCGATGATTGAATCGCATAGAATACATTTCAAAAACTCTGTGCTCATGATGAAAGACATCTCTCTGCTAGAAAGTAAGAGAATTTAGGCATTTTTATGTTCTTTTTCATGGTAACAAAAATTTAGATGGATGCTCAAATATTGCTATCTATTGTAAAGCTCTCAAGTTCCTGCAATTAAGTGCGTTAAAGCCTTACTGATTGCGAAAGTTGGAACAAGCCTATACAATGCGGAGGAGTCGGTTTAAAAAGAAACGGGTTTTTAAATAAAAATCTGGGTTTTTTAATAAAACTCTGGGTTTTTTAATAAAACCCCTGGTTTTTAATAAAACCCTGGTTTTTTTAATAAAACCCGGGTCGGTTGGGCAACTTGAAAAAAAAAAACTTTTTTTTTTGCAACCCTGCGGGGAGCAGCTCTACTGTGCCTGAGTACTCCATTATTTCCTAGCGTTCACTGGTGTACGCAGGAAGCACAGGCAGTAGTATTGTGGGTGATGACATACAGGACTTGTTGTTATTGCGTTATTTGTGGGGATCGTTAATTTAATCTACAGAGTTTATTTATACTTCGGTGACCTTTACTCTCAATTAAATTTACGATAACGCGATGTCGTGGCAAATAATTACAACTGAAAGCTACTCTATCATTTCAGATATAGACCTTATTAAGCTTATGAAATCTGATGTTCTGAGCTAACGAACCGCTATCTGCGCTCCAATAAATCGACCATTAAAAAAATCTGATCCGTTAATTTTGTATATTTATTTCAACTCCTGTGACGGTCACTAAGAAATACAACCGAACTTCTGCTTTGAAATAAATATTAATTGGATGCTAATTCCAATTTGTCTCAATATATTGATATGGCTTTGGAATCGTCTACAGCATATAAGTATTCGTAATTTTAGTACAGACAAATTTTTGTGTACGTGCTTAATAAAATTTTTTATATTGGTTGTAAATTGGCATCTATGGAGACTCGTGGTGTGAATGTACTGGCGGAAAAGGTCGAAAATAAAATAAGAATACACTATTACACTTTTCAAAATAATAATGGATTGTTGCATTGATAATTTCTTAATTTCATAAATTCTAGCAAATGCCATCAGCCTTTACCCCATTGATGCAGTACCAATAAATGCTTACTTTTAAATGATGAACGCTATGAATGCATTATTGAACAATGAAAGGTAGAAGTTTATTTCTATTATTGAACTAACCATTCCAGAACATATCAAGTTTGTCATATGTAAAGGATATTCAATATCACTTGAATTAAGTTCCCTCATTGCAACACCTAATACCTATGACATTCTTCTTTTCTTGTATTTTTTGTGACAATTTGATTTTCATGAAGAAACGAAAAACTAGTGCGTAAGATTTATCTTATCTATTTGAAAATTTGTAAATTTTAATATCACACATTAAATATGACCACTGCATAACTCTAGTGAGAAGGCGACTCAAATTTCATGCATTGACGAAAATGAAATGATAATACACGTAATCAGAATACGTGCTTTTTTTATTGTCTATTTGGCTTTATAAACTCACTGATTGTCTTTATAAATTAAATAAATTAATAAATTATAAATCAAGTCACATAGGATTCCCGTAAACAAATTAATAGTTATATTTCAGTATTACAATGACAATTTACCATCACCTGTTCAATAACACTTCTTGAAAATGCGACAGAGCGATGACTTCATGTGACGTAAAAGGCAGATTTTTATTCTTTGAAATATGCATTTGTTGGTAGAATGATCTTGTATTAGTTATACTTTTATGAGAACATGTTTTCGTTCTGAGCGAAAATAGTTGAATATCAGGCATATAATTTTCTGCTGGACGTGACTCGGTATAAAATAATACCAAGTCACGATATAATTTTTGTCGGTATATACAGTACCATAACAAAATTTAGAGTCGCCCCAGCTTCTGGTAATCCAAATCAGAAGCTGCCGCGACTGTAAATTTTCACTGGGTAACAAAATTTAGAGTCGCCCCAGCTTCTGGTAATCCAAATCAGAAGCTGCCGCGACTGTAAATTTTCACTGGGTAACAAAATTTAGAGTCGCCCCAGCTTCTGGTAAGCCAAATCAGAAGCTGCCGCGACTGTAAATTTTCACTGGGTAAATATATCTGGACGTAACTGCATGACGCACGTCCAGATATATACCGACATGTACAATTAAGTTCCGAACGACGAATGAGAAATATGAATTGAAATATCATGGAATATCGGAAAACCTTTTACGTCGGTTAAGCTCCGAAGTTACTTAGTGAATAGTAAGAAAGAATCGATTAGTCATTTATCTTAAAAGAATTCTCGGGTTAAACTTTACAATCATTCGAAATCATTTAAAACGCACTCAAGAAGAACTGGAATCTTCATGGAAATGTTCTAAGAACATTTCAAAGTCATAAATTCATCCCCAAATGACGCACATAATACACAATCGTGACATTTAATGTACTTTTATAACGATGATAAAAATGAGAGGAATGAATCTATACACATAACAACACATTACAATAAAAACTCGAATATCTACTGGGAAATTTTGTGACCCGAAATATATCTGTGGATGAAAATAATATAACTGAAATAAACCTAATAGATATGAAGTGTGCGTCACGTGTAAATGGAGAATATCTAGACCACAAAACAGAAAATTGCGTGATGAGGTGGCGTGACATGAACAAATGCTTTTACTACAACGACCACGTCCTTGAGAGTCTACTCAGCTCTAATGCTCTGCATGTGATCATCAAAGTGAGGTCACGAAATAAACCCTCAATCGGCAATAAAATTTTTCGTTTCAATAATGATTTTGAACATTAGCAGTGAGGCATTATAGATTTTGTTGAAATTGCAGGACAGAAAGAGTCTAGTTTTGGCCATTTCAAAGCTATAATTTTCTTTCACACACGTTTCAGTTCACTTGACTCGGAATACAGTTTGATGAAATTTTTATCAAGGATCTGGCTTGGCTAATCATTACTTGAGTATCACCAGAGCTTTAGTCTCCGGCGACTAGTCACCGTGAATACAAGGGCTTGACAATTTTGTTTTGCACGAACAAATTATAGAGTTTCAAAAACTCATTGGTCAGGAAAAGTTTTTTCCTGCCAGGAAAAAAAAATTGACTTACTATTTATTTTGACGAAACGTACGTACCTCGATTTCATCGTTGATTGAGACCTTTGCTAAAATATAAAGTGGGTACCAATTTAACGTTTTCGTGGGTCTTTGACCTGAGATTGACCATTTAATTTATTTGTTTCATGATTTAACGTGCTCGTGGGTTTTTGTCTTGAAAATTGACCATTTAATTTATTTATTTCATGATTGCGTCCGAACTCGATCGATAATTTTGACCACGAGTGAAGGTGACAGAAAGATTGAGCAAATCCTCGATCGTTCTGTCATCCTCAAAGTGAATTCAAAGGTTAAATCCACAACAACTAAGTGAAATCCTATTCATTATAAGCAACCTTAAAGGCGTCATCAATATTTATGAGTACATTTATTTCAATAATGGTTTTAATTATTTTCTCATGGAAATTCAATTTAAATAGAAACATAAAATTGAAAAAAATTTACCAGCAGAATATTCATTTGATGATTTAATTTTCTTATCATCAGTTTGAGTAGCAGTAATTCTCAATTTAGTGGCATATGGCCGCCACATGGGCCCTGCTCTGCCTTGCTGCGATGGCTGCCCCAGCTACGTCGCTCGGATTCATGGCTTCGTTCGCTGGGAAGGCTTTACCGCCCCGGTATTCCCAAGTGAATACCACTTTTGCAACTGCCTGTAAGTAAACTATAATGTTTTGATGTTGTGTTGAAAATTATGGTAAGTTGAGTTTATTAAAATCTACACAATGCATTTATTGCACAGTCCAAAATTAAGACCCCCTTATATGTTACTGATAGAGTACGCCGGCATTTTCTAATAAGGCTGAATTGGAAAACCACGTTAATTTATGACATTATTTTGTGGACTTTATTTTCCATTGGCTGCTGAAGACCAAAACGTATTCTGATTATATTATATTTTTACTGTAGCGAACGTTAATTTAGATTCTATTTGCCGTGCTATTGAAGCAAATCATGAATTCATATACTTATTGATTATTGATGAGTCCTTTAAACGACTGTCAGCCACTAGTTCAAGTTCCGTTCATTGTCTTTGTCAGACGAATTTTTTCACGCCTGCTTCGAAATTTTATTTATCGTTCAGGTTCAAAAGCCGTAAATAAAGTTGTGGTTTTCTTAAAAAACATTAATGCTTTCTACATTCTAACATTATTCATATCATCACATGATATGAAATTTTATCAATCAGTAATTGTTTCCTTATTGCCTTGTACGATTTCATTGTATAGTCAATTCCGCAGTTTTGTTTGCCGTAGGTCAATGCAGGATGGCGTGTTTAGTGAACCCCGCATGCGCTGCAGTGTCCACCGCTCCGGAAATCGTGATGTCGAACCCAACCGGAATGTTCCTGTGCACTTTTGCTCGTGTCAATGTGGTCGACGCGGCCCGTCTCATCAACGCTACGTCGAGTCAAGCAATCACTTCAATTAAAGGTCGGGTAAACGTGTTTTAACCAAGATTGGTAGGACAAAATCAACGCCACGTCGAGCCAAGCAATCACTCCAATTAAAGGTCAAGTAAATGTGTTTTAACTAAGATTAGAAGGACAAAATCAACGCTACGTCGAGCCAAGCAATCACTACAATTGAAGGTCGAGTATACGTGTTTTAACTAAGATTAGAAGGACAAAATCAAACGGTGACTTTAGCCACAATTGCTGTAAAATAGAATTAAGTCATTTGACTGTGTTTTTTTTGCGGGATGCAATTTGTAGACAATATGTAACTGTAATTCCAATTCACATTAAGAATTAATGTTGTTAAAGCCCGTTATGCCTCAAAATCGCAATAGATACTTAAAATTTTCATTTGTACTGATGAAACAAATTTTTTTTACCGCAGACTTCAAGTGTGACGCACCTTTCAAACTCATCTTTGGCGTTGGATGCATTTTGGTGGTAGAGGAGAAGTTAGATTTTGAAAATGCAACTGAGAATTGCCCTCCTGGATCTGCCTTGTACACTCCTGAAGATGACGTAATTTTCCACAACTTCATAGAATACATGAAGCTGAAAACCTTGGGTAAATAACACACTCTTTTGTTTCCACGTTAATTATTTCAAATTCGCTGACATCACAGCATAGTCTACGTGAAGACAACGCCTTCACTTGTTCTGACGATGACATTGTAAAAATTCAACCTTGTAAAAATATTTGGTATGAAGGCTTGCTGGTCACATCATGGCAAATTTAGTTTTCCCACAGCGAGCTTTCTACAGAAGTTATTGATACTCATACTTAATTTTATATATTCATTGTCCGTAGCGAAAAAACATAATAATGCCTATAATATCAGCATGAAATGTGATAATAATATAGTAAATAATAATAATATATAGTATACGGTAATATAGTAATAATATAGTAATAATATAGTAATAATAATGTAATAATAATATAGTAAAATTTACAGTTTCGAGTAACTTTAATTCCTTTCAACCTCAAAATTCGTAAGCTGCTCCGTGCAAAACGACGAAACAATAGAGATTACAATGTTATAAAGATGACTATTAAGATAACAATTTTATGTGCACGTTCATTTGATCATAACCTGAATATTATATTAGATACCGGTATGCATTGTTTATCACTGTTTTAATCGGAGTTGACCATTTTTAGCTGGATTCGTAGAGTCATGTTTGATTTCAAATGCTGTCCCAAGCACTCACGAATCTCCGCATCGTCACGATGAATGAAATACCTACATTTCTGACTTTGAAACAATTGATTGGTATTTTGATTATCTTTTACAAAATAACCATGTTATCTATGATTTACACCAGGACGAATGGATTTCTGGCTTGGCTTCAAGAACTTCGGAAACGCTCAAAACCAGACCTGGGCTTGGTTCGATGGCCGCATCGTGTCCTCTACCACCGGTTCTTGGTACTGGACAAAATACGAACCTGATGGAACTGGAACCGAATGTGCGCGTCTCTTTGGAAATGGAGCTGAAACAGGCATGAAAGACAATCCATGTAGTAGCCGCTACTCGTCTGTGTGTCAAATGAATAGCCATCCCTAGGCTAACATTTGTGTTGGACCAATCGTGCGAAGTCTAATCCATTCGTAGGTACAACATTCACGCTGAACTATGCGTGTGAAGTAGATATCTATCAATGAGCACAACATTTAACCCTCCACTGCCGTATGTCACTCTCCGGGAATAAAACTCCCAACTTAAATTATACGATAACTATTGAGTGTAGCAAACTGAGGACGTTTGTACGCAACCGAGAACATTTTAAAGTTGTCGTACGTGGCGGCAACCATCAGTGCAAGTCATGTTGCGCTCACTAGAACGTATCCTTTTTGGGAAGTAGGCTTCTGACAATATTGCTCCGGTTACTCATGTCAGGCGGTAAAGGGTTAAGCTTTGATCGTGTTAAATGATAATCTATATATAGGCTCAACATTTGTGCTGAAAAAGTCGTGTGAAGTGGAAGTGTATCCGTAGGAACATTATTTGTAGCGGATCAATCGTGTGAAGTAAAAATATATCTGTGGACGCAACACTCAAATTGAATTATTCTCGTGAAGAGGAAATCTGAGGACGACGAAGGCGGGGCATCAGCTTGGCCTTGAACTACGGAGTCCTAAACTCATCATTAATTCATAAGGTCACAACATATCTTTCTTTCTTTCTTTGGCGTTTGTACAGTTTCTTTTGGCGAAAATCTTTCTTTGGCGTTTGTACAGTCAGAATATAAATGAAGTGAGAAATTGAATAAAAAATTGGTCTACAACAACGAATTCAGGGTTTAAATCAAGTTTTAATGAGTTATTAAATGCTATTTCAAGAGGTAATTCATTTATGACGGAAAGTGCTTAATAGATAACAGATTTTAATTAATAATCAAATAATAGATTTAATTATTAATTTACCCACAGTAACTAGAACTTTCGAAGCACTAAGTAACTTGACCTATTGAATTTTGATCAGTTGTAAATAATTTCACATCAATAATAAAGTATGTAAAAATAGTTGTCATGACAAAAAACTCAATTTAAATGTAATAATTGGTTGACCAAGCAAAAACTTATGGACACAATTTTTGTTGAATCGACGTATGTATGTTGAAATGAGGGCAAAATTCATCTGCCCAGTATAATAATATGTCAATATGACTTATTTTCTGTGTGATGTGTGCAATCTATAATAATTATATAATCATGGTTAATCTATCTTGAGCGATTTGTCAGATTTAATATTTTCATTGCTCTGTATTATAGACACGCACCAAATGCAATATAAATATGTAATTCCGGTACTATATAAATATGTAATTCTGGTACTATTCGATCATTAATTGCAGATACAGTATTACCCAGAAATATTCCTGTCTTGAATAAACAACATACAATAGCTACGGAAAGATGTCGGTACTGAGCATTTCCGTAAGATGTGCACGTTAGGGTATAAATGTAAAGATAGCGTCCGTATCCATTTATTTACATTTATTTAGTACCGGATCGTAAGCCTTGTGACTACGAAATACTAATAACTCAGCTTTTGTTCATGTCCCTCTGTAAATTGGTTAGTCGAGAGAGATGAGTTGTAAACTGTTCATCAATTTCACAATTACCTGAACTTCATTTTGTTTATATTTACATTCAATCTAGATAATTTGTGGAATTTCGAGATTTTAATTAAGGAATCTAGTTTCTTTCTCTGTAATTTGAAGTAACATTGACCAAAGTCCTATCATTTTCAGAAGGTTCACATTTATAATTTCATTATTCATCATTGGTTTTACGGACGAAAATAATTGGTGATCATCTCTAATTGGGGCGCATTATTACCATAAATAATTCAGTGTGTAAAAGAGCACATAAATACTTAAAAAATGTATTCTTCACTATTCATACGGCCACCTACTATTTACCCGTTTTACCCGGTGGCCCAGTGGTTACAGTTCAGAGTACCAGGATTGGAGCAGAGAGGCGCGGGTTCGATCCCAGCTCTGTGCGCCAGTTTCTGGTCAGAATCGGCGAGGAGGCCGAGCGGTTAAGCACAGCGGAATTGTAGCAGTGAGTTGCGAGTTCAAGCCCGCAACAAGCTGTGAATGTTCTGCGATGTTAAGAATCAGCGACAGGCCTACGGCCTACTAAACGCTGAAACCGCTATTATATTATTATATTATACTCTAATAGAGGTAGTTACTGATCAAATTAACAACACTTATTTCTGTTACATATTCACGGCCCATGTTAATAAATTTGCAATAATTGGATGCAATCAATGTTGAACTCATTTATACCCAATCGAATGAAAAATCCGGAGGAAAAATCCTATTACCTTGAATAAAAATTAATCGGTACGAAAAACGATCAGGAAAAGATTTTCGTTATGCGTTTTTCGGTTCTCCATATACCCGCATGTCACAAATGACACGCATAGCTTCATATTCTTCTCGCTTCGAGTCACCGACATGTGGAACAGCCTCCCTGATAGCATCGTTGACGCTCCGAGTGTGAACGAGGGTTCCAAAGGCCGGATCCTTTGTGAATCAAGTCACGAAAAGTTCAAGAATCGGCAACAGGCCATGGGCCTATTTCTTCAGTGCCGACACTTCTATTCTATTCTATATGCTTCAGAATATGCGCATGGAACATGTGTCGAATTGCAGTCATGATAGGCCTTACCGTTGCTAAATTTGTGTTCCGAATAAGGAATTTATTCGTTAAGTTATCAAACGTGTACTAATGAGATAATTCAGCGGTTTAATTCCTTTATGAACTTTGCATGGATGAATTAATTCAACTACTTCATGCGTGACATTTTTTAGATCTAGCATACAAAATAATTCAAACTTAAGCTCTCATAGAAACCTTGGGCATGAGCGGACGCGCATGGGGCATGAGCGGACGCGCATGCCAGTAAAATCTACACAGAGACTCAAAGTCATGCATTATATAATTATACATATTGTAATCATAATACAGACCATGTACATCAGTGATAGTGCAGGGAAGAGTGAGCTAAATAGAATTTTCATCGCTGATGCCATTGTTTTCATTTGAATGATAGAAAACGAGAATCAAATCTTCTGTCTTGGAAATAAAAAGTATTTTATGTATATTCTTACTAAGATCTCCGTAAGAAGCTTCAATGTTTGAACATACCCATAATGAGAATATAATAAATAAATAAATAGGACTAAAATTAAATAATGTGACTAAGAACCAGGATTAGGAGGTCAGCTCATGTCAGGCGGTAGAGGGCTAAGAGGTCAGATGTACAAAAATGTTGGATACTCGCACTGTGGCGTCATGCAGTGGGCTCAACTAAGCCATTTTGTTTCGATGTATCAATTTTTTACATACAAATGCAAACAAATAAAATGTTTTAAAATAAAGCATTGATAAAAACTGCCGACAAATTCAAAATAATACGGCCTGAATATGATAATAATAAATAATTATACAATCAGTCATTTTCAACTTGAATATGATCATGAAAATATTCAGGTATATGCAAGTATGAGTGGTCAGATAAATCATTTCACATTCACAATTATGACTCAGAAAGAAATGACTAGTAAACCCACGAGTTTATTATTAGAAATAAACTTCATGGACTTGATATAATTTAGCCCTACTTTACAAGAATCGATGATAACTTTACAAGAATCGATGATAACTTTACAAGAATCGATGATAACTTTACAAGAATCCGATGATATCGACGATATTGATGGAGGGTTCCATTTGGCTTCAGCAGAAATTCGTGATTAAAGTTCAAGTTTTCAGGTTTATTGCTGCAGCCTTTCGGTACAAACTACGGTAATGATGGAGTCTGCCTTTCTTGACGAGCATTGGCCTGCAGTGATCGAATATATTTATTACTTCACTGGCCAGTACGGAGTGAAGAGGTATTACTCCTGATGCCAGCTTAAGAATTTATACAATATTAATAACTTTGGTTTAATATATGTAGATATCGAAATTGAAGTTTTAAAAGAAATAACTTTATTAATCCATAAATGAATTATTCATATGATTGGAATTCCATACTACTGTACACTTCCGAATCACCTGCTGACATATATACTGTGCGCGATCATACTGTGTGTACAACACATATATATAAATGAGTGACTATGTATGAATACTTTGTATGTGTGCTATGAGCATAAATATTACGTATATTATCTCGCAATGCATTATTTTTTGCCTTTGCGTAGGACCTCGAGTGTGAAGGCTACAGAAGATTGAAGACTACGAACATTAACTGAGTTCCTTCCAAGAATGTTAATCCTTGCGACCCTTTTGTTGGTGTCTCTGGTGTGCGACGCCCAGTATTACGAGAACGAGCCAGTGTGGCTTTCCCAGCACTACACTTCTTCCTGCTGGCCGGCGTCTCAGGTGTTCAAGACCCCAAAGCAGGGAATGGTCAGCAACGCTCGCACATATTCCGCCGCAATGAAACTGTCGTCCGCAAGAATGTCGCTCTCATGAAGTCCGTGATCGCTTCGTCTGTGCACAAGTCGACTGAGTGAGCGTAAAATAATGTTTAATGACAAAAGTGGAGCATTTAATTGGTTTGTTAGAACAGAATAGAAGTGTCGGCACTGAAGAAATAGGCCCATGGCCTGTTGCCGATTCTTGTACTTTTAATGACTTGATTCCACAAGGGATCCGGCCTTTTGAACCCGATCTTTCTATAACTGACGATTTATTGAGATAGCTGCTGGACTTCATGCCTGGTCCGTAATATGCTAGGCATTTTAAGACTGAACATATGCTCCTGCATAGCTTCGTCTAGTCTTATTGCCTGGTCCGTAATTTGCTAGGCATTTTAAGACTGAACATATGCTCCTGCATAGCTTCGTCTAGTCTGTTCTTAAAGGCGTTCATACTCGGAGCGTCAACGATGCTATCAGGGAGGCTGTTCCACATGTCGGTGACTCGAAGCGAGAATAAATGTTGTCGCATGGATGTGTTCCATCGCAGTTTTTTTAGTTTATAGCTGTGGCCCCTGGTGTTGCTCCTTGTTTCTAATTTTAGGACCCCTTCTGGGACCTCGTGTAAACCATGATAATACTTAAATACTTCAATGAGGTCACCACTCAGACGTCAATAACAGAGGCTTGGAGGCTTCATAATCTTTAATCTTTTTTTTACCAAACCAAGCTGCAATTTTTTT